ACAAATGTGAGTGGCCAAATAACAACAATGCATTTGCTTAGGAGCAGAGCCTGTTAACAAACCTAAGATAGATTCTTATATGCTCTTAGAATTTGAACTTAGGACCTAACTTGCAGTGATGAAATAAAAAAAATGTAGAATAGACACTGCTGTCTTAGAATTTGTGTTTAACACCTCTAAATAGGATTAAAAGATAGTGATTGTTCACACCTTATAAGGATTACATTGGTCATATCAACGATTTTATAGGAGCTCTTGGTCTGTAACAATATTCTGGATTTCAGTGTAATATATTTCTGTAAATAAAATAGAATTGTATTTATATTTTCATAATAGAGTGGAGATATGCACAATAAATATATGCAGGGTAGAGTAATTTTACTCAATTTAATTCTTGGGTCATTATTTGTCGCATGGTCTGATGAAGTTATACCCTGTGCATTTATTTGCTTGCAGTGGCTCTACTACTCCCTCGTCATCAGTAAACGGCGATAAAGCAGAGTTCCAGTCACATTCTGATTCGCTGCGGTCCAGATTCAATGCAGTGTCTGCTAGGTATGATTTTGTAAAATGTAATGGATGTGCAAACTGTATTTTTCTAATAAACTTATTTGATATTAACCTATCTTGTCACTAAGATACAAAGAATCAATCTCAAAGGGTGCAAGGGGATGGAAGGAAAGGTTGTTCTGTCGTAGTTGTTCCATGTCAGAACTTGGTTCAGAAACAAGGAGGAGAGAGATGAATTCTGATATTTCTAGTGTATCCCGACTAAAGGAATCCCTTGAATCTAGTGAGAATAGTAAAGCTGCGGGTACTTCTTTGTCTATTCATATGGAGGATTGTTCCATTGGAGAAGTGAGCAATCACAATGATGTTGAAGTTAGCGGGGAGACCTCTTCACATGATGACAATACTCTACCTGCTTGTTCTGCTGCCTCACATTTAAATTGAGCTCTTCCTTGTTTCTGTCAATGTATCTTTCCTCAGCATCTCATATTTGAAGGTAAGCTTTGATATTTGTTTAAATCTTTCTTAAGAGAATTAACTAATCCGACCTTCTGTACATTAACTAAATACCTGCTTTGTTTATTATTATAAATCTCACCAATTACCAGGGGATACCTTTTGTACATAGAAGGGGCGAGTCTGCCTGGTACTGGTGGCATTAGTTCTTACGAATGTGCTCAGCAGTAATGAAACTATGAATGTCATTTTAATTTTTTCCTATAAGGGATCTAACACAAGATATAATAGTGAGGTAATAATGGGGAGTGAGGGGGTAAGACGTATTTTTGGGTACAAATGAAATTTTAACTTCTTTTTTAAAAACACTTTTATTAGAAATATTTTGTATGCTATGGTTATTAGATAAAGATGAAAAGAGAAAAAAATGTAAGGAAATGTGTATTATTACACTAAGACTTTTGGAAATATTTCCTTGGGAGAAAAGAATAAGATACTAGTCAGGGACGTTCAAGGGCACCGTATCTTCTTAACATCTCCCCCCGACTGTAAAAATTAATCCCATCTCCATTTTACAAGGTTTCTACAAATTTATTCCCTCCTCCCTGTTGTAAATAACCAGCCTACCGTTCTACATTTTTTTTTTCAATAGTCAGCTAATTAAACAAACTTGGGTCAAACAATTTGCCCATAAATGACTCACTTTGTCCTCAAGGTGAAAATTCAGGAACTGCTGTTGTATGAGATTGAATAAATCTCAAGAACTCTCGCCAGTAGGCATATCGTGCCAATGAATAAGGATTTCTACTTCCTGATTTATTTTTTTCGGGCGATCGGGACTTATTCAGGGTGACTTGTAATTCCATGTCTTCTGTCAATGCTAATGGTTAGAGGTTGAACTACCGAGGAAGGGCAATTGATCTCTAACAATGACATGGAAGACATGGTGAATGGTGTACCTAGTTGGCAATTGTAATTGCTAAGCTTTTGCGCCAATTGTGTTTTGTTTTGTAATTTGATGAGGGCCATAGTACCTTGGTCCCAACTTCTAGTACTTTTTTCTTGAAACTTTCTGCCGTCAGTGGTCTTGTGGTCTCCAATTCCATTTTCAGTGCCAATTCAGTTGAATTGGCGCCATAATTCATAAGTCACAAATTTGAGGCATTTTCCCCTCCTATATAATCAGAGAATCAAAAGAAGGAACTATGATAATTTTTTGTTGTGTTAGTCCATATGGAACTATGATAGCATCAATTCTTATTATCACAAACTTCATAGTGGGTGTAAATTGTATGTATGAAACTGTTCATTTTACTAACCCCTTGGTGCGCATTATATTTGGTCTCACAGTTTTTTAACCCCAAAGGTAACTCTCTTCAACACGACAAACTGAGGAGCATACGCCATGGAAATAGTCGCAGCACTTATGTTGGGGTTTGCTATAAAAATTACCATCANACAAATTTATTCCCTCCTCCCTGTTGTAAATAACCAGCCTACCGTTCTACATTTTTTTTTTCAATAGTCAGCTAATTAAACAAACTTGGGTCAAACAATTTGCCCATAAATGACTCACTTTGTCCTCAAGGTGAAAATTCAGGAACTGCTGTTGTATGAGATTGAATAAATCTCAAGAACTCTCGCCAGTAGGCATATCGTGCCAATGAATAAGGATTTCTACTTCCTGATTTATTTTTTTCGGGCGATCGGGACTTATTCAGGGTGACTTGTAATTCCATGTCTTCTGTCAATGCTAATGGTTAGAGGTTGAACTACCGAGGAAGGGCAATTGATCTCTAACAATGACATGGAAGACATGGTGAATGGTGTACCTAGTTGGCAATTGTAATTGCTAAGCTTTTGCGCCAATTGTGTTTTGTTTTGTAATTTGATGAGGGCCATAGTACCTTGGTCCCAACTTCTAGTACTTTTTTCTTGAAACTTTCTGCCGTCAGTGGTCTTGTGGTCTCCAATTCCATTTTCAGTGCCAATTCAGTTGAATTGGCGCCATAATTCATAAGTCACAAATTTGAGGCATTTTCCCCTCCTATATAATCAGAGAATCAAAAGAAGGAACTATGATAATTTTTTGTTGTGTTAGTCCATATGGAACTATGATAGCATCAATTCTTATTATCACAAACTTCATAGTGGGTGTAAATTGTATGTATGAAACTGTTCATTTTACTAACCCCTTGGTGCGCATTATATTTGGTCTCACAGTTTTTTAACCCCAAAGGTAACTCTCTTCAACACGACAAACTGAGGAGCATACGCCATGGAAATAGTCGCAGCACTTATGTTGGGGTTTGCTATAAAAATTACCATCATATAAACAGCTGTTCTTACAGCTAAAAGTCATCTTTTTATACGTATATATTTTGTGCCAAACACAGTGAAGGGTTGAACGTGTCTTAAATGTCTGGTGGGTGGGATTTTAGATGGACATGTACTATGAACATTAATGTACCTATGGAAGAACAATGTTCAAAAGTTAAAGGGAATTTGTCCTTATTATTTTACCTTTTGTTTATTGACAAATCGAGAATATATGGATGGAGGTGGCAACTAGATTACATGTTGTTTCTGCAAACATTCAAACCTTTTCACATGCATGGTTACTTGCTGTTGCAGTGAAGAAACGTCTGAACAAATTGGTTGTTGCAGTTTTTAATAATTGAAACAATGGGTCAAGGAGTAACAATGTTTAAAATTATCTCAATATCAAGTATTGAAAGGAAAATCTTATTCTTTTTCGGAGATATTCTTAAATGATTTTTACAATTTTTTAAAATAAATATTCACTTTCAATATACGTTTGAAAGAATACTGTCTAGGAAGTGAGTGTTTTTCTTAAAAAATATAGATCTTATCCACCTAATTGTATTTGTTTTCATATAGCGACCAATTCTTTTTTACACGAGTACTTAATAATTATGTTAAATAATATAATTTGTTTGAATTTTTGTTTACTTTCTTTCAATATAAATCCATTATGAGAAGCATGCATTTGTTCTAAATAGAAACAAAAAACAAAATTCATATTTCTAGTATTTTTTATTTCTGTTAAACAAATAATATATATATACAGATATATTTTTCTTTTTTCAGCAAACACATTGTTTGAAAGATCAGAAAAAGAAGCATAATTTTTGAAGAAAATATGGTTAAATGAGAATTTCTGCAAGCGAGTGCATTGCACACAAGTGATAGTTGTTACGAGGAGAAAATTGGGAAACGAAAAGCATATGAAAAGAAGATTCGATACGAACAGCAATGTCAAATTGAGTCGTAATTATCAGAAAGAAGGGAAAAGTTGATGATGAAATTGGATGTGAAGGATTCTAGTAAAAGATAAGAGAAAAAAATGATGGTGGATTATTATTATAGTAATTTGTTGGTGTGTTGCTTTAGAATTTGTGAATTTTGTAATGCAAGAAAGTTGTAAGATGAGGAGAGGCAAAAGAGGTGGTAGAAGGGTGATTGAAAAGGAAACTGTAAGTCAGAAGTGAACATTAAAATTGACAGAAGAACCACCGGCGGGCGGTGGGTCAGCGTCGCCGTTTTAGGAAGCTTAAAAGTTAAAAACGTAGTCACATAGCGAGGAGTGAGTGACACAGGAGCGTACAAATTAATTGAACTGTGAACCCAACTCTGTTCCTTTCCCACCACACCGACACTTTGCCAGACTGCTTCCTTTATCACTCACAATAATCACGTTTCCCTTCGCCTCCTTTTAATTAATAATTAATAATAATAATAATATATAAAACCATATTCATTAATCATTTGAGATGGAACAACAATAATAATAAGTATAAAAAAAAAAGAGTTATAGCTTACCTCAATTTGTTGAATAATTACAGTGATAATACTAACAATAATGAAATTAGAAAGTAGTTAGTGAAAGAAAATGAAGGTGAGAGTAGGGTTCCAGCACATGAATGCCGCGTGGTCCCCACGCACAGGCTGTCAGAATAGTATGCTTATGCTATTCTGTAGTGTATGGTAATGCTATGGTATGGTGTTGTAGTATTTTTCATTGAGAGTTCTCATAAGCATTAAGCAAAGGGAAAAGCATTGAAAGCTGAGAGAAAGAGACTCACCAACCATACCCCACTTCCACGCCTCTTCTTCTCTCTTTCTCAGTATCATTTCCCTACCAAAACAGACATACGCAAACACAGTTTCTTTCTCTCCCTAACTGAGCGCCATGGATTCTTCTTCCATCTATGGCGTCTCCCACATCTTCACCTTCTTCCTTCTCTTCCTTTTACAACTACGTTCACTCTCCGCATTCCCTCACAACTCTTCTACCACTCCTCAGATTAACTCCAACTCCATCCTCGTCGCGCTACTCGATTCCCATTACACCGAACTCGCCGAGCTCGTCGAGAAAGCACTTCTTCTCCAGCAACTTGAAGACGCCGTCGGCAACCACAACATCACCATCTTCGCCCCGCGAAACAAGGCCCTCGAACGCGACCTCGACCCCGAGTTCAAGCGCTTCCTCCTCGAGCCTCGCAATCTTCGCTCCCTTCAGACACTCCTCATGTCCCACATTCTCCCCACGTGAATCTCCTCCCGCCACTGGCCCAACTCCGATCGCCATCACTCCACTCTCGGAAACCATCACCACCTGCATTTAGCCACAAATCCCTCCGGCCAGATGACCGTCGACGCCGCCGAGATCCTCCGCGCCGACGACGTCGTCCGCCCCGACGGAATCATCCACGGCATCGAGCGTCTCATAGTCCCCCGATCCGTCCAGGAGGACTTCAACCGCCGCCGCAACCTCGCCGCCATCTCCGCCGTCATCCCGGAGGGTGCGCCGGAGATCGATCCCCGCACCCACCGCCTCAAGAAGCCTGCCCCAGTCCCCGCCGGCGCCCCTCCCGTTCTCCCAATCTACGACGCCTTGGCGCCGGGACCGTCCATCGCTCCCGCACCGGCGCCGGGACCCGGAGGCCCGAGGCACCACTTCAATGGCGAGCGGCAGGTGAAGGACTTCATCCACACGCTCTTGCATTACGGAGGGTACAACGAAATGGCCGATATTCTCGTTAACCTAACGTCTCTGGCCACCGAAATGGGAAGGCTCGTTTCAGAGGGTTACGTCCTTACCGTTTTGGCCCCCAACGACGAAGCCATGGCGAAGTTGACGACGGATCAGTTGAGCGAACCCGGCGCACCGGAGCAGATTATGTACTATCACATTATTCCCGAGTACCAAACCGAAGAGAGTATGTACAATGCCGTCAGAAGGTTCGGTAAGGTCCGCTACGATACCCTGCGCTTACCCCACAAGGTTCTCGCTCAGGAGTCTGACGGTTCCGTTAAATTCGGTCACGGCGATTCCTCCGCATACTTGTTCGATCCTGATATTTACACCGATGGAAGGATCTCCGTCCNCAACCACTCCTCAGATTAACTCCAACTCCATCCTCGTCGCGCTACTCGATTCCCATTACACCGAACTCGCCGAGCTCGTCGAGAAAGCACTTCTTCTCCAGCAACTTGAAGACGCCGTCGGCAACCACAACATCACCATCTTCGCCCCGCGAAACAAGGCCCTCGAACGCGACCTCGACCCCGAGTTCAAGCGCTTCCTCCTCGAGCCTCGCAATCTTCGCTCCCTTCAGACACTCCTCATGTCCCACATTCTCCCCACGTGAATCTCCTCCCGCCACTGGCCCAACTCCGATCGCCATCACTCCACTCTCGGAAACCATCACCACCTGCATTTAGCCACAAATCCCTCCGGCCAGATGACCGTCGACGCCGCCGAGATCCTCCGCGCCGACGACGTCGTCCGCCCCGACGGAATCATCCACGGCATCGAGCGTCTCATAGTCCCCCGATCCGTCCAGGAGGACTTCAACCGCCGCCGCAACCTCGCCGCCATCTCCGCCGTCATCCCGGAGGGTGCGCCGGAGATCGATCCCCGCACCCACCGCCTCAAGAAGCCTGCCCCAGTCCCCGCCGGCGCCCCTCCCGTTCTCCCAATCTACGACGCCTTGGCGCCGGGACCGTCCATCGCTCCCGCACCGGCGCCGGGACCCGGAGGCCCGAGGCACCACTTCAATGGCGAGCGGCAGGTGAAGGACTTCATCCACACGCTCTTGCATTACGGAGGGTACAACGAAATGGCCGATATTCTCGTTAACCTAACGTCTCTGGCCACCGAAATGGGAAGGCTCGTTTCAGAGGGTTACGTCCTTACCGTTTTGGCCCCCAACGACGAAGCCATGGCGAAGTTGACGACGGATCAGTTGAGCGAACCCGGCGCACCGGAGCAGATTATGTACTATCACATTATTCCCGAGTACCAAACCGAAGAGAGTATGTACAATGCCGTCAGAAGGTTCGGTAAGGTCCGCTACGATACCCTGCGCTTACCCCACAAGGTTCTCGCTCAGGAGTCTGACGGTTCCGTTAAATTCGGTCACGGCGATTCCTCCGCATACTTGTTCGATCCTGATATTTACACCGATGGAAGGATCTCCGTCCAGGGAATCGACGGCGTTCTTATCCCCCCGGAGGAAGAGGAAGAACGCACCCAGCGCACCACTCCACTTGTCAAGGTTGCCGCTAAACCAAGAAGAGGTATTTTTTTTTTCTTTTTTTAATTTATTTTAGTTTTGCTTGGTCGAGTTTATTTGTGCATTTCATTGTAATTATTATAATTGTTATTAGTTGTGAGAGAATAATAGGGATTGACTTGGTTTTAGGTAATGGGTGAGTAGTGTTTGGTTGGAGTTAGTTTAGGGTAAAGGTGTTTGGGTTAAGCACCTTTTGTTCTGTGTTAGTTAGCAATTGGGTTGGGAAGCTTGAAGGAAAGGAGATCGTGTTTATATTTATGGCATTGCCCTTTCTGGAAAGTGCTGGTGTTGAAGTGGAATTATTCACCGGCACCACGTGTGAAGCCACTGTTGTTTTACTTTTCAACAAGGGAGTTTTAGTGGATCGCTTGTACAGTGAGTCTTCTCTTTTTCTATTGATTTATCTTTTGGGAGCTGCCTAACTAGTTATACCAGGTGTTGGTTTCCACTTTTCACGGATCAACTATTTTCAGTGAAAATAGAAAATGGAAGAGAAAGCTTTTACTATGTATGGATGTGTCTGGTTTTTTAGCAGTGAGGTACTTGGGAAATACGAGAGATGGTGACAAAAACGGTTCAGTCTGATAGTCTGTCCCTTTGTCTCGACTAGTCCATGTGATTCATCAATAATAAATCGTATAAAAATAATTGGGTGTGCCAAGCTGTAAGCCACATTCTACTTTCCATATTCATCTCATTATTCTTTTCACTCTTCCGTGTATTTTATTTACACTGCATTATAATTCTAGTCAACTAAGGTATTGGTTGGATTCCCTTTTTTTACAATTTAATTGTTTGATACGAATTTAGGTGGGATATAACATTCATTTATTTCATTCACTCTCTCCGAATAAATAACTTGTTTTCTTTTTATTTGCATGTGAAAATGTAATGGTTATTGCCTGGCTATTAGTTGACTTAACATTTTATTTTACCCAAACGCATGTGCAGGGAAGTTGATGGAAATGGCATGTAGCATGCTCGGAGCTTTTGGACAAGGATGCCAATGAACTCGTTCTCTCAACTAATCACAAAAGTAATAAAGAGTGGTTGTATGTAAACTCGATGAATGGTAAGTGTTAATATTTTACCCTTTGATCTGTTTTATTTCCTTGGATAACATGTGGGTGTGTTCTGATTCAGTTTTGTTTGGAATGAATTATGCAGTTGTAGAGTAATCATTTGAATACAAAAAAAAGGAAGCATGCTCGGTCTATAATCAGAGAGCGATTACACGGAAGATAACAAAAACAAATTTTCTGTCATTTTGTTTCATACTGTAATTACATACCATTTTTTTATTAAATTTTTATTTTATGTTGATTCTCCGTCTCTATGCGTAAATAACCGACGCCCCTTCTTGGTTGTCTTTTTTTTGTTGATTGTATGTATGTGAATCAAGTCATACATAATCTACTTTATTATTATTATGATGTCTTCCAAATGATTATGATTATTATTATATTATATTATGGCTCAGAATTTCCAACTAGATTTCTTCAGCAGAGTTTTTAAAGAAAGAAAAAGAAGGAAGCGATGAAATGGACCTCTCAACTGAAGTATTTTTTTTTGTATTAAAGGAAAAAAGTAAAAGGTTGTGATTGGAAATTAAGGTGTGGTTGAGGGGTTTATTAGATGAAAGGTAAGGAAAGGAAGTAGGTGTGATTAAATTATTTGGTGAAGAAGAAGACAGAGCAGCTAATGGTAATGCATTGCTGGTGTCGGTTATTATAATATTCAATAAAACCCTTTCACGGACTCTAAATAAATTAACAAATGTCTCGTTTGTCACTCTCATAACATTATTAATGCTTTTCTATATAATATTAGAAAATATAGTCTTTTTTCTTTTGAAGAAAACTCTTGCAGTAAAAGATAAAAATGTTCGCTCGGGGTCAAAGAACCAGAAAATAAGGATAAATTAGCACAATGGAAAGTGTTGGGCGTAAGGTCCATCTAAAATATATTTTTTTTCTTATTCCTCGGTTGTTTGTTTGGATAATTTGTTATTTAATTGATTGGATGAAAATTTGGATTTAATTAATTAAGTAATTAATATTATAATATATAGTAAAAGTCTCAACAATTATATATGACTTAAATTTTTTTATAATTTTCTTTCACAGCCATTTGATTAGAGATATAATCTAGTTTTGTTTAAATATGATTATTCACATGTTTAGATTAACTAGACGATCAATTGATATTGATTGCGATCAGTCTCCTTCAAACTTGGATGATTGGTCATAATAATTCGATTAGTATGCATTGGGGGTACATATAATACATAGGCCCCAAGCTTTAAGCTTGAATTAAGACCACAAGCGTAAAGGGTTAACTATCGCTTGGGTCATCCTTGAAAATATGACACTTGAACTTCATGCCCAATTTTGATGGCTCCACCGCCCAGGCAATCATCTTTCCTACCAAACTTAGTTTTTTGAGAATTTTCGTCATTTGGTTTGCACGATCACTTGATAGTTTTGAAAATATAGCATGAGGCGTTGGACGATAGTTAGCAATGTCATATCAACCTTCTTATGATACCAGGTTTCAACATCTTGTAACACCTGATTGATGAAGTATATACGCCTTTGCTCAAGGTTTTCTTGCCTGAGCATTGCAGTGATGACCTCGTTTGACACAGATAGGTACAATTTCACCTCTTCACCATCTACCGATCAGGACATAATGAGAAGGCTAGTAAGGATTGTCACACACTTTTTTGGATTGGCCTCTATGTCCTAAGCGGTCAATATGAATCTGAGAAACTTTTTCGCCCGCACGTTGAGCATGCACTTGACTGGGTTTGGAGACATGATGTATATTCAAATTTGATAGAAAATCTCAACTAGATCCTTTGTATGATTGTCGATCAAAATCGTATACCTCCATCTTTTGCCTATTTGGTCTTGGAAGACCTTGTCCATAAGGCGCTGATAAGTGGTCACTACTTTCTTTAAGCCAAACGACGTCACCTCATAATAATAATAATTGGCCTACTTGATGAAGAACACAATTTTCTCTTTATTTGGGTGAAACAAGGAGATATGATTATTCCCCAAATAAGCATCTAGAAAGTTTAGCACCTGATGGTTTGAGACTTCATCCACTAGTCGATCAATGTTGGGAGAAGGTATGCATCCTTGAGATATGCTTTGTTTAGGTTAATGAAATCAATACACATTAGAAAGCCAAATTGTCTACTTGAGCTCCCAGATGAACCTGCTTCCCGCAACTTCTTGACCTCAGCCTATGCTACTTTTCTCCTCTCCCCTCCCAGCTTGTGTTTCTCATGTGCCATCGATCAGGCTTCCTTGAAGATGGTCATCTTATGGGACATGACCTTTACCACCCTTCTCTTGCCAAATGATCTTGTTCTCGACGCGTAATGTTTTTATTTCTTCATCATATTTTCTCAGCATCTCATCCATTTGTTTTTGTATTCTCCTCATCATTTCATTCAGGTTCATCTGATCATTAAGGGTATCCTCTGTTGCTAGGTTGCTTATCTTGTTTATTGTAGTTACCATGAGGGCTTCAAAAGTTTTTCCTCAGTCATATTGCGGAAGACAAAATATTTTGGGTGTTGGATCTATTAACCACTATAAATTATAATTCTTAATATTTTAAATAATACATAAAAAATAAATAAAATAGTATCTTGATTTTTTTTTTAATTTTTTTGTGTGTTATATCATTTCAAACTAAAAGCAATTAATAATTATAAAGGATACTTTCAACAATACATAAGAAAATTAATAGAAGTATGTGATAGCTATACAACTTTTTCATAAAAAATATCACCCGCCTTACTCTAAAATACAAAATTATTTCACTAATATATANAAATTATCTCAATATCAAGTATTGAAAGGAAAATCTTATTCTTTTTCGGAGATATTCTTAAATGATTTTTACAATTTTTTAAAATAAATATTCACTTTCAATATACGTTTGAAAGAATACTGTCTAGGAAGAGAGTGTTTTTCTTAAAAAATATAGATCTTATCCACCTAATTGTATTTGTTTTCATATAGCGACCAATTCTTTTTTACACGAGTACTTAATAATTATGTTAAATAATATAATTTGTTTGAATTTTTGTTTACTTTCTTTCAATATAAATCCATTATGAGAAGCATGCATTTGTTCTAAATAGAAACAAAAAAAAAATCATATTTCTAGTATTTTTTGTTTCTGTTAAACAAATAATATATACATTCAGATATATTTTTCTTTTTTCAGCAAACACATTGTTTGAAAGATCAGAAAAAGAAGCATAATTTTTGAAGAAAATATGGTTAAATGAGAATTTCTGCAAGCGAGTGCATTGCACACAAGTGATAGTTGTTACGAGGAGAAAATTGGGAAACGAAAAGCATATGAAAAGAAGATTCGATACGAACAGCAATGTCAAATTGAGACGTAATTATCAGAAAGAAGGGAAAAGTTGATGATGAAATTGGATGTGAAGGATTCTAGTAAAAGAAAAGAGAAAAAAATGATGGTGGATTATTATTATAGTAATTTGTTGGTGTGTTGCTTTAGAATTTGTGAATTTTGTAATGCAAGAAAGTTGTAAGATGAGGAGAGGCAAAAGAGGTGGTAGAAGGGTGATTGAAAAGGAAACTGTAAGTCAGAAGTGAACATTAAAATTGACAGAAGAACCACCGGCGGGCGGTGGGTCAGCGTCGCCGTTTTAGGAAGCTTAAAAGTTAAAAACGTAGTCACATAGCGAGGAGTGAGTGACACAGGAGCGTACAAATTAATTGAACTGTGAACCCAACTCTGTTCCTTTCCCACCACACCGACACTTTGCCAGACTGCTTCCTTTATCACTCACAATAATCACGTTTCCCTTCGCCTCCTTTTAATTAATAATTAATAATAATAATATATAAAACCATATTCATTAATCATTTGAGATGGAACAACAATAATAATAATAAGTATAATAATAAAAAAAAGAGTTATAGCTTACCTCAATTTGTTGAATAATTACAGTGATAATACTAACAATAATGAAATTAGAAAGTAGTTAGTGAAAGAAAATGAAGGTGAGAGTAGGGTTCCAGCACATGAATGCCGCGTGGTCCCCACGCACAGGCTGTCAGAATAGTATGCTTATGCTATTCTGTAGTGTATGGTAATGCTATGGTATGGTGTTGTAGTATTTTTCATTGAGAGTTCTCATAAGCATTAAGCAAAGGGAAAAGCATTGAAAGCTGAGAGAAAGAGACTCACCAACCATACCCCACTTCCACGCCTCTTCTTCTCTCTTTCTCAGTATCATTTCCCTACCAAAACAGACATACGCAAACACAGTTTCTTTCTCTCCCTAACTGAGCGCCATGGATTCTTCTTCCATCTATGGCGTCTCCCACATCTTCACCTTCTTCCTTCTCTTCCTTTTACAACTACGTTCACTCTCCGCATTCCCTCACAACTCTTCAACCACTCCTCAGATTAACTCCAACTCCATCCTCGTCGCGCTACTCGATTCCCATTACACCGAACTCGCCGAGCTCGTCGAGAAAGCACTTCTTCTCCAGCAACTTGAAGACGCCGTCGGCAACCACAACATCACCATCTTCGCCCCGCGAAACAAGGCCCTCGAACGCGACCTCGACCCCGAGTTCAAGCGCTTCCTCCTCGAGCCTCGCAATCTTCGCTCCCTTCAGACACTCCTCATGTCCCACATTCTCCCCACGAGAATCTCCTCCCGCCACTGGCCCAACTCCGATCGCCATCACTCCACTCTCGGAAACCATCACCACCTGCATTTAGCCACAAATCCCTCCGGCCAGATGACCGTCGACGCCGCCGAGATCCTCCGCGCCGACGACGTCGTCCGCCCCGACGGAATCATCCACGGCATCGAGCGTCTCATAGTCCCCCGATCCGTCCAGGAGGACTTCAACCGCCGCCGCAACCTCGCCGCCATCTCCGCCGTCATCCCGGAGGGTGCGCCGGAGATCGATCCCCGCACCCACCGCCTCAAGAAGCCTGCCCCAGTCCCCGCCGGCGCCCCTCCCGTTCTCCCAATCTACGACGCCTTGGCGCCGGGACCGTCCATCGCTCCCGCACCGGCGCCGGGACCCGGAGGCCCGAGGCACCACTTCAATGGCGAGCGGCAGGTGAAGGACTTCATCCACACGCTCTTGCATTACGGAGGGTACAACGAAATGGCCGATATTCTCGTTAACCTAACGTCTCTGGCCACCGAAATGGGAAGGCTCGTTTCAGAGGGTTACGTCCTTACCGTTTTGGCCCCCAACGACGAAGCCATGGCGAAGTTGACGACGGATCAGTTGAGCGAACCCGGCGCACCGGAGCAGATTATGTACTATCACATTATTCCCGAGTACC